TCCTTTCTTTCTATAAGCCTTTCTTTCCAAAAGCCTTTTCTTTATTTCCTACTGTGACTCTTTGCTTTCCTTTTCTTTCTTTCTTTTTTCTTTCTTTCTTTCTTTCTTTTTTTTTTATTTCCGATTTTTTCATCCTTTCTTTCTATAAGCCTTTCTTTCCAAAAGCCTTTTCTTTATTTCCTACTGTGACTGTTTTCTTTCTTTTTTTCTTTCTTTCTTTCTTTCTTTCTTTCTTTCTTTCTTTTTTTCTTTCTTATTTCGGATTCTTTCAGGCTTTCTTTCTACAAGCTTTTCCTTATTTCCTCCTGTGACGCTTTCTTTCTGTCTTTCTTTCTTTCTTTCTTTCTTTCTTTCTTTCTTTCTTTCTTTCTTATTCCCCATTCTTTCATTCATGCTTTCTCTATTTCCCCGTCTTTCTTAAATTTCTTATTTCCAAATCGCTCTTTCTTTCTTCCTTTCTTTCTGTAAGACTTTTCTTTATATTTCCTTTTGTTTGCTTTTTCCTTTCTTTCTTATTTACTATACTTTCATTCTTTCTTTCTGTCTTTCTTTCATATTCCCGATCCTTTCATTCTTTGTTTCTATAAGCCTTTTCTTTAGATTTCCTACTGTGACTGTTTGCTTTCTTTCTTTCTTTCTTTCTTTTTATTTCTTTCTTTCTTTCTTTCTTATTTCGAATTCTTTCAGGCTTTCTTTCTGTAAGCTTTTCCTTATTTCCTGCTGTGACGCTTTCTTTCTTTCTTTCTTTCTTTCTTTCTTTCTTTCTTTCTTTCTTTCTTTCTTTCTTTCTTTCTTTTCATCCTTCCATATTTCTAAACTTTGTAAATAACTGCATTCATTTTTATGTTTTCCTCATTCTTTTCATTCTTTCTTCGCTTTTTATCTCTTTCATTCATTCATTCATTCTTTCTTCCTTTCTTCCTTCGTTTTCGACTTTTTGAAGCGTACAAAAACCTAATTCCAGTTCCATTTTATCCGACAATAAAGGGCACTGTTATTTCCCTCTCGTATTTGGACGACTGTTCAAGTTTCCAGTAAACAGCCACCCGACAGCCAACTTCGGTCATGCAAAAATCATCGTAGCTTTCGACTCCAGGGCAAAAAAACATTCGTTCTTCAGTTAGAAGAAGTCAATGTCATGGCTACTTAAAAGAAAGCTGATCCGTAACATTGGCAAACAATGACAAGTTCATGAATGTTACCGCTTTGAGCGTCAATTGATAACTATTAATGGCTGTTACTGCGTCTGCTTCCCATCAGTGCAGCCACAACCGGAAACTGTTAAGTTTGCGCGCGCAATGAAAAATAAAGACAACAGTGAAGGTTTAAGTAAAAAGGAAAATGGCTGCCTCGTTCCGTTTCGGTCGTTCTTTGTCCAGAAGTACGAAAAGATGTATTACGTAAGAAAAAGAAACAATCCTGTTTTAGAGACAATATAGTGAGGCAGCCCATCGATATTCAGTGTCTCTGGCATTAATCAGAGTTGAAATCAAAATCAAAAACAAATTTTCTTTGAGAATACGATCCTATTTTTTTTACTCTTCTTCACCAAATATAGGACCCAAGAGCCAGTCAAGGTCGTGCGTAACTGAATGTAAAGTGGAAAGTAGACAACGCTTGACCTGAGAAACAATATCTCAGACGTCTGTTCCAAAAATTATTGTTTCTTATGATGGAAATCTTCCTTACGAATGGAATATGAAGAGAATTGACCCGATGTACCTAACATGGCGGATCGTAACTGTGAAGGTCTGAACTTGTAGAACTAAAGAATGTCGTTTATCAGAACATTTTCTGTAGAAATAACGATAGATTCGCGAGAGGGTTCCCGTCTGTGGGAAAAGGGACTGTAGGAAGGAGAAGTCATCACCCAAAAGGACATGTAGACGGCTTTGAATTTTTACGAGACTGGAATGTAAGGGTTGAGCAGTTCCAGCCTAGATATATCAATATGCCTTTTTTCTTATATTTTTTTGGTCTGATCTGACACTTATAAAGATAGAGCTTGTCAGGTGGAGTCTGGTAATTTCTGGAGTGGCGCAAGGAACCTATCTTTTTCCAGCCTCTTTATAAATGGAGAGTACAGATGAGTTCCACATGAAGCTTAAGGGGAACTTGCATCCTTATAGACGGTCAAATCAAGAGAGATGACGCTTACTATACTTACAGTAAAGAAAAAGAAGAAAAAAGGAGAAGATGCTGAGAAGAAGAAGAAGAAGAAGAAGAAGAAGAAGAAGAAGAAGAAGAAGAAGAAGAAGAAGAAGAAAAAGAAAAAGAAGAAGAAGAAGAAAAAGAAGAAGAAGAAGAAGAAAAAGAAGAAGAAGCGGATGAGGATGCACAAAAGAAGAGAACGGGTGGGAAAATAGAAGAATGGAGGGATTGTTTGCATGTAGGTGCCTCACATTCTATATTGATCCAAGTCAGCCATGTTTCTGCCATCTTAGCTGTCTGATGAAATGGTTCCAAAGGAATCTCATTCGTCTTCGGAATGGTTTCTATCTTGTCATTCATTAAGTTCAGCTGTCGCTTTCCCATTATGTGGCGTCGCTTTACTCTTTATAGGAGGTGCTCAAAACTTTGAGACCTCACTGGACTCAGTAATAGATTTGCTTCATAATATATATATATATTCTCACTTAAAAAATTTTGAAAAACTTAGCGTTGCGTCTTTGCACGTTCCGATATCTTACAACCGTCAATAATAGCAGATATTCAAAAAACATCTTTCGGTCGACATACAGGTATATCGTCTCAAGTTTTTGATTTTATAAGGAAAAAAAAAACACATGCCTGATGATGTATAGAAGACTATTCGTAAGTACTAGCATTTTAACATCAAATAAACTGAAAAACTACAGACAACAAGTTTTTCGTCAAGGATCAAAACTCGCACTATGGATGAACAGGATTTTAATGCATATATTATGTTTTTCTAGCGATGGATGTCGCCAATAATCGCATAATCTTCTGATTAATTCTATGTGATTAATTCTTTGTATATATATATATATATATATATATATATATATATATATATATATATATATATATGATAAAAAGACTTAAGCACTAATATTCCATGGTCTTAATTTATTCCATTGGAATCGTAAATACGATCCAATTCATCAGACCTATGAAACCATTGGACTTAAGATACCTTTTAGTTAATGACCATTTTCACCTACGGATTTTAATTTTAAAATTCGTAGGATTTTTCAAGGTGTTTATTGTATCAGTTTGTAGTGGGATAAAATAAATAAAGAAAACTTATCTATATTTTTTAATAAAACATGCATCAATATATATATATATATATATATATATATATATATATATATATATATATATATATAGTGGTACTCGCTTGAAAAACCTTAGATATTTCGGCATGTAGTTGAACAAACCAATGCCCAAGGAAAAATGAGGAATAAAAAAGACAGAAATAAGAACAGGAAATTGAGGCGAAAACAATCGTCCAGAATTCAAGCTCAAAATCGAAAGGAAAAAAAACTCTAAAACGAGTAAATGTAATTAGGTAAAGTGCTCATTACACGAAGTAGAGCAAACCTAATATAAACCTAAAAAGCCAGGTAAACCTACCTAGAACTTATGTATTTTAACACATTTAACAGTTTATAGCTATAGCATAACATACAAACTTACAAATAAACGAAAACAAGTTCTAGAAGCTTCCAGGATGTTACAGAAGGTTACAAAAAGTCATTATACTACTATATATATGTATATAAGATTTTAGAAATTTTCTGTTGGGGTGATTTAAAAAAAAAATAAGCTGAATTAAACACTTCTTCATTATTTTGTAACAAAAATTCAGCGAATTATGATACAGGAAATGAATTATTTTACAAAAAGTAAAAAGTCTTATCCCTAATATATATATATATATATATATATATATATATATATATATATGTGTGTGTGTGTGTGTGTGTGTGTGTGTGTGTGTGTGTGTGTGTGTGTGTGTATTTGCTTTTTATTTTCATGGTGGAGTATACACGAGTTATCAACTAGAATTTTTTTGTGAAGGTTCATCCTCACTTCGTCTTCTCTCACCCCTCACTTCCTCACTTCCATTATACGGCCCGTCAAAAATATGTAAAATTGTTTTCATTTTTCATTTCAACCTTTGAAAGTAAAGTCTGATGATCCAGAGCCCTTTAAAAGGGCTGTGGTGAAATAATTTATTACATGGAACCTTAAAGTGGTCTGTTTTTATTCAAATATATTTGCTCTGAATTTACATTGAGCTCTCTGGATATCATCCTCCTTGGGTCTACCCAGACGGATTACCTAGTTTTACATAAACTATATATATATATATATATATATATATATATATATATAATATGTGTGTGTCTGCGTATCGGCATGTAATTCCTGTCCATTGATCTTGAAATGATTTCTGACCACTTGTTCTTCATTTTTAGTGTACAACATAAAAAACGAATTACTTTGTTAAAAGCAATTTTAACTCCACAGTTTGTGAATTCGTTAAATAAATGATGAATGATGTCAGATTCCCTCCATTCTTGGAAGCTACAGCAACGATTTCTTTCCGATTCGATCGCCTTATTTTACGGAATTTCTCGAACTAAAGAAAAGGCATATTCTATTAAAGAGGGCGTGGGAATACGATTCATCTCTCGTCAACCCTCAATTCATACCTGATGCTTTCTCTCTCTAGATCTCACTCTTTCGATAGATAGATAGATAGATAGATAGATAGATAGATAGATAATGAACACACTGAGATAGATAGATAGATAGATAGATAGATAGATAGATAGATAGATAGATAGATAGATAGATAGATCAGAATTATGAAAAAAAATGGATAGATAGAACGGAATTAAATAGATGTGAAAAAAATGATAGATCAAAATTATATATAAAAAAAGATAGATAGATAGATATGAAGAAGTGAGATAGATAGATAGATAGATAGATAGATAGATAGATAGATAGATAATTGAACATAATTAGATAGATAGATAGATAGATAGATAGATAGATAGATAGATAGATAGACTATGAACAGAAATAGATAGATAGATAGATAGATAGATAGATAGATAGATAGATAGATAGATAGATAGATAGATATGAGCAATATGAGATGGATCGATAGATGTCCTTTACTTAAATTTAGTCTGGTATTTGGTTTCCTTAATAAAAAATGTATTTGTTCTTGGAAATGATTCGATAGTAATACTTGTTTACGGCCTTCTCTGAGCAACTCTTATAGCAGGAGTGGCTGCATTTCATAAGCAATTTTGCCGTTCGTCTGCTCAAGAGAGAGAGAGAGAGAGCGTGGGACTGGACAAAAGAGGAGAACAAATACAAAATAACAAAAGCATTCACCCACACCCACCGACCCACCCACTCATATTCGCTTCAGACCCACGAAAACACGCGAGATAACTGACAAAAAAAAAAAAAAGAAGTCAATGACAACTAAAAGATCGGTTTTCTACCTTTAATTAAGCAAAAGTTAATTAAATTATTTTTTATATTCGTTGGTTCCCAAATTTCACTGCAAACGGGATTTAATTTCAACGTTCGCTTTTGAATTGTTCATAAACATGTCGGCTTGACTTTGAGTGGAAAAGAAAGTACTTTTTGCTTTTTATTTTAATCTGATTTAGAGAGGCCAGTTTCTCCTACGAAGGGCCGGCGCGTACTAACCCCGAACCCTGCCAACCTGGGGTTGCTCAAGCGTGATTTGGGGGCCCCAGGCAGTTCTTTGTTTACTCTCGCTATCTTATCAATATTTTTTCTACCTACATTTATATACGTTACAAATTAAACTAACAACAACTATTAAAGGATGAAAGATTTTCGGGGATTTTGACGCCATTCTGAGGTTCTCTTTTTTGGTTTTTGTCCAAATGTGTTTTCTTCATGCTAAGTCTCGAAAAAAATACACGATATAAAATTCCTTATTTCTTTTATCCATAACTAGCAGTAGAGCCCGGCGTTGCCCGGGGATGTAACGGTAAGAGATAGATCAAGTATCGACCATCATAAAGACTGAAAAATAAAATTGACAAAGATTATTGTTTAAGGTTGACGGACACGCATGTCTTAATTATTTTTTTTTTTTTTTTTTTTACGGATTGGTCAAACCCAAACTCAAACAAAAACATTATTTTCAATCGTTATGAGTCTACCGATTGAATAGAATTTTATTATAAACAATTGTCTTGTAAATGTAATTTTTAAAGCATTCTGAATGTAAAAATAAAGAAAAAATGTGTGCAAGACAATTAGAAACACTACCTGCCAAAAAAAAGTGAAGTTTTGTTGAAATCGGTTGAAAGATGTAGGAAATTCAATCCCATATATAAACGCACACACACACATACAACCAACCTGGGTTTTATAATAATAAGTATAACTCGATATGAGGTCTCCCCCTTTCATTAATGTCTCTTAATCGTGTTTTCAAATTGATTTCGTGCAAAAGCAATTGTGTTTTTTCCAATTTTTGGCGCTGTCAGAACCACCGCAAGGTAATTTTACGTAGTCCTGTGAAGTTTTGTTGAAATCGGTTAAAAAATGTATGAAATTCGATCCAATATATAAACGAACAGACACACACACACACACACACATGCACGCGCGCGCTTTATAATAAGTATGATGTGTTAAAATTATTCAACAATTTAAAAAATATCTCAAGTTGATGTTGCAAAGCATTGTGGATACTGATGTAGTGGATAGCAGCTCGGAATTGTTAATCAGAGAACAGAGTTCTAATTCCAATTGGGTTCGTTGTATTCACTTTTGCACAAATACCCTTGAAGAATTTATAAATCTACCTTTTTCCCTCCAGCTATGGGTTAATTAGTAAAACCTCTATTACTAAACCATTATTATTTTCTCTACCAAAAAAATCTTAAAATTCTTACACCCTTGTACAAATTAATTGAAACAGGATTAGTTTCCTTTCTTTCATCATACGGTCAGTTTTAGAGCCACTGGAGTGACAGGATGTTATCGATTTTTATTTTTACCTCGGATTAGTTCCTTTGCAGTGGTGAACAGTAATATGAATCTATTTTCGAGATGTATGATAAATTTATTTGGCCTTGAAAAATATTGCATCATCCGTGATTACATCAGATTTTTATCGCACTCAGACACTATTTTCTCGACTGTCGATTAATTGTCCTACGGCGATTGTCTGCGATGGACGTTACTCTAAGGAAGCATACGAAAATTGTAACGCTGAATGAACACAATGGCAAGCCTTTCCAGTGAGCAATTCAAAGTGCTATAGACTGGCCCGGAACTCTCTTGATTTGAATCCAATCGAGAATCTGTGGTCAATCTGCAAGGAATGATTTTATGGAATAGGCATACGATGTACTAACATGTGCACTGGGTCATGTTTTCATTGGAAAAATACGAAAAAAATTAAATAATAACATAATTATTTGTTTTCTTTCAATTAATTTGCACAAGGGTGTATATGTGCTAATATTGATAAATGTGTTGAAAATGCAGATGAATAATGGAAACATTCCTTGAAGAACGAAATTGGCAAGCAGCATTCCTTGGTGTTCGTCTAAAAAGTCCTATCTAAATGAATTGCTTCACATCGATGGCATGTCCCGGTTTACTAAGATTAAAACCTGAAGCCAAGTATACTTAATGCAGACGACACTGAACAATCCCCCCTCCCCGGCAACCACAGACACCGATAGAAACGTCTACGTCTTACTTTTTCTTTTTTTTCTTTTTTGTCTGTTTCTGTCTGTGCGTCTCCTTTTTCACTTTCTCGCGGAAATTCAATATCTACATACAGAAACTGATAGATAGGTAATTATTGTCACCACCACCACCATCATCATCATCATCACCCTCCTCGTCATCATCATCATCCTAGTCACTCTGCAGATATCGACTAACAGATGGCGTGTTTATTCGTGCCTCGGTTTCAATCGTCAGACGATTAAATGGTTCTTTGGATGGAATTCCACTTTTGTTAATAAATTCTTCATAAAATTATATTCACACCATTCATCAGATCTGGATGTATTAAATATACAGGGTGTCCATAAAGTCCGTGTGCACTTTAAAAAAATTATAACTTTATTTGTATTTGCGATAGAAATAATTTGTAAAAAGAATTAGAAAGAAGTAAATCTATATTTTTTAACGTTTTTTTGAAATTTTATTTAAGTTTCCACATGTCCTCCATCATTAGCAATACAAAGGGTAATACGATTTTGCAGTTCACGGAAAACATTTGCCAACTTATTTACAGTAATGCCTGATGTCACATTAGTTATTTTAGCTATACTTAAAACTAGGTACATTAAACTTTATAACATATATATAATTTTCGAATAAATAATTATATATATATATATATATATATATATATATATATATATATATATATATATGTGTGTGTGTGTGTGTGTGTGTGTGTGTGTGTGTGTGTGTGTGTGTGTGTGTGTGTGTGTGTGTGTGTGTGTGTGTGTGTGTGTGTGTGTAAAAAATATATAGAAAATAGGAAAGAACTCGTTAGGTAAATAATCCAAAATTCTTTCGTATTTTTTGTTATTATTTTTAAAAAATAGTGCTCGAATAGTGTTTTTGAAACATGAGAACTCTTATGTAGCATTGGAATCATATTTTTAAATAAATAATCATATATATATATATATATATATATATATATATATATATATATATATTTGAAATTTTGCATATTACATGTATAGATATTCAAAGAAATTTCTGATTAGTAATTGTTATTTTTGGTTTTTGTTTTAATTTGTTATTTTCTCATTTTTGCTTTTCTTTGCCTTATTTTTCCACGTTTTTCTTTCTTTCTTTCTTTCTTTCTTATACAGGTTCTTACTTTCTCTCTTTCTCTTTTCTTTGCCCTACTTGTCTACGTCTTTCCTTTTTTTTCTTTTTTTCTTTCTTTCTGTTGTGTTATTTTTTTCTTTCCTTCCTCACATTTTCGGCATTGACTCATTCGTTTCTTATCAGGAAATTATTCCATTCTGTTATCCCGTTATTCTTTCATTCGTCTATTCTTTTATTCTTTCATCACTCTCTTTCCATTCGTTCTTCATGTATTCATTCGCTATTTTTGTGCACACCTCTTACTGTTATAAAATAAAAAAGGCAAGCTCAACATTTAAAAGTACCCCGGGTAACTCAGTAAGTAATAATAGATGTTAAAATGGTTAAAGGGGTATAATCAACATGTGCCGTAAAATGTGGGGAGTTCTTGTGATATTTGCATATCTTACGTTGTGTGCTGGTGTTAATAAAATGGTGCTCGGTGTAAAATAACAGAGCTATAAATTACATTTTAATAATAAATATGCTTTTTTCTTCACTGGTAGCTCAACTCTGAATTTAATACACAACACAATTTTCAGGTCAGACCGTTACATAATTTAAATTTTGATATGTAAGGCTGATCGTTACATAATTTAAATTTTGTCATGTAAGGCTGATTCTTACATAATTTAAATTATGATATGTAAGGCTGATTCTTACATAATATAAATCTTGATATGTAAGGCTGATTGTTACATAATATAAATTTTCATACGTAAGGCTGATTCTTACATAGTATAAATTTTGGTATGTAAGGCTGATTGTTACATAATTTAAATTTTGATATATAAGACTGACTGTTACATAATTTAAATTTAATACGTAAGGCTGATTGTTACATAATTCAAATTTTGATATGTAAGGCTGATTCTTACCTAATATAAATCTTGATATGTAAGGCTGATTGTTACATAATATAAATTTTCATACGTAAGGCTGATTCTTACATAGTATAAATTTTGGTATGTAAGGCTGATTGTTACATAATTTAAATTTTGATATATAAGACTGACTGTTACATAATTTAAATTTGATACGTAAGGCTGATTGTTGCATAATTCAAATTTTGATTTGTAAGGCTGATTCTTACATAATATAAATCTTGATATGTAAGGCTGATTGTTACATAATATAAATTTTCATACGTAAGGCTGATTCTTACATAATATAAATTTTGGTATGTAAGGATGATTGTTACATAATTTAAATTTTGATATATAAGACTGACTGTTACATAATTTAAATTTGATACGTAAGGCTGATTGTTACATAATTTAAATTTTGATATGTAAGGCTGTTACATAATTTAAATTTTGATGTATATGAACATTTAAATTATGTAACAGTCAGTCTTAACCTGAAGATTGCGTTGTGCTAGCCGGTGAGGCATAATTTATGAGGATATGCTTGAAAGATAACGTTTAACCCTAGAAGTGAAGAAGTTAAAATTGTAGTAGACGCCAAAGCATGTTCCTCGGATTCTGTTCTGCAAAGCAACTGATCTCGGAAATATCCTAAGTTGAACTTACTCCTTCAGTCAGTTATGTGCCATGCGTGATACACGCGTTGGCGATTATGTATCTTTCGATACATGACTGACGAGGCAGATTTTTATCCCGCAATAAGTTGCCATTTGTTTCTGCAATAGACCAGTTGCCATCCAAGACTACAGAACGCGGTCTGTCCTGCTATTTACCCATAGCTACGGGGAGAAGAGGATTCATAACTTTCCCAAGGGTGTTAGCACTTAAAGTCATGGATTACGACTGCTGGAATTCGAACTCAGCTCTCCGATTCCTCAATCCGAGCCGTTATCCATTACTCCACGCCTCTAACTAATTGAATATGAAGGTGATATGTCCCGGAAAGGGATATATTTGTTCGAAGTAGCAAAGTGGTTTTGGACTACTGTAACCGGGTAGGACAATCTAGCAGGTAACCGTAATGGACTAGTCCTCGTCGTAGAGGTAGGCAATAGGCGTAGGCAATAGGCGAAGACAATAGGCGTCGTTCATGTACCTCCACATCAGTCTGTATTTATGACTGGCACCATTACTGTGAGGGGGAACCCAGGTGTATTCATATTCATTATATCAGAAGGGAATGAGGCGGGGTGGTTGGTCTTAGGTAGGAGGGTTAGTGCGTGGAAATGTTAGGACTGTAGCCCATCTTAACATTTGCCATGGAGATAGCGATAGAATAACCAGTGGCTTGCCACGTTCTGTCTGACATTGTTAATGTTTGACGTCTATATAGTTTTGATTGTTTGATGTAAACTTCCAATAGCTTCTATTGTATTTTTTCTTCTTTTATATAAAAAAAACGATATTGTTAATTAATCGGTCACTTGTCTGAACGTTCATTTTGAACGAAACGCGTCACAACACAGCTTTCTGTCTTGTCATTAAATTCACCCAAGCACACAGAGACGCACATTTGACTCTATATTTAGACATACAAAACGGAAAATACAAGTTACGGGCGAACGGCCATATTTTATGTCAGCACCGTCGTTGTAACTGTAAATAGGGCATCCATACACTATTTTCCTACTAACCAATCGTCAATGTTAGTGCTTAAAAGCGTTGGTCCGTTGAGGCAACAGCTGTGATTAGAAATCGGTATCAGTGCGAATTACAAATGGCGTGCAATCGGAATGTTTTGCTTAAAACTGTTTAGAAAAGAGGCAGATGACCTTGGGAAGAAAAGAGAACAAAATGGGAGAAAATGGACTGCAATGAAGGAAAAGAAGAAAGTGTAATTTCGAAAGTAGCTGCTTAGGAAAGCAGAATTGGAAATTTAAGGAGTGGAACAATAAGAATAAAAACGGAACGAAACGGAAAAATCGGAAATGCATGAAGGACAAGGGGAAGAAAGAAAAAAAAGACGCTAAAGGTACGAAGAAAAGAATGAGAAAGAATTAGAAGGAGAAGTAAATAGGATTAAATGAAACTAAAATCAAAAATAGAAAGAGGGGGAAAAAGCGTGTAGAGCACAAGAGAGCACGAAAGAAAGAAAGAAAGAAAGAAAGAAAGAAAGAAAGAAAGAAAGAAAGAAAGAAAAACGTGGAAATGTAAGGCAAAGAAAAGAGAAAGGGAGAAAGTAACAACGTGTATAAGAAAGAAAGAAAGAAAGAAAGAAAGAAAGAAAGAAAGAAAGAAAGAAAGAAAAACGTGGAAATGTAAAAAGGCAAGAGAAAGGGAGAAAGTAACAACGTGTATAAGAAAGAAAGAAAAGAAAGAGAAAGAAAGAAAGAAAGAAAGAAAGAAAAACGTGGAAATGTAAGGCAAAGAAAAGAGAAAAAGAGAAAGTATCAACGTGGTAAAGAAAGAAAGAAAGAAAGAAAGAAAGAAAGAAAGAAAGAAAGAAAGAAAGAAAGAAGACGTGGAAAAAATAAGACAAAGAAAAGAAAAAGAACGTGTAAAAGAAAGAAAGAAAGAAAGAAAGAAAGAAAGAAAGAAAGAAATGGAAGGGAAAGGGAAAGAATATAGTAATAAAAATCTAAGAGGAAAAAGGGAAGAAGGTCGTGGAGGTGAAAAGAACGAAATTAGAAAAGAGAGTGTAAGTAAAGAAATGTTAGAAAGAAAGAGTAACACAAATCATTCATTCTAATCATCCTCAAAAATCAAACACAAGATTGCGAGCGAATGAATTAAATATCGAAAGCAAAAAACAACTGAGACGGAAGATACTGAAGAAGACAAATGAATGAAATAAAATGGCGTCGCTATTGCTAAATGACCACAGATGTCTTTCAATTTGAGCTTCACTTGCATTCAACGGTTTGAAACCTTTTCAACATGGCGGCGCATCCAAGCAGATAAGAAATGCAGTGTTTCGAATAGAAGGCTTCATTAGACATTCATTTTGTTTTCTCTTATTTATTCTTCTTTATCTCTCTTGTCTTTATTATATTTTCTTTTCTTTCTTTTTTTCCTTCGTTTTTCTTTCTGTTATTTCTTTCCTTCTTTCTTTCCTTCTTTCATTCTTTTTCTTATAATATTCTTTTTTTTCTTTCATTCATTCTTTCTTTCTTTTTATGACTTCTTTCTTTCTTTCTTTCTTTTCATAAGTCTTTTCTTTTTCTTTCTTTCGTTCATTATTTCTTCCTTTTTATGACTTCTTTCCTTCTTCCTTTTCTTTTTTCTAATAACTCTTCTTTTTCATTTCATTTTTTATTTCTTTTTATGTCTTTTTTTCTTTCCTTCTTTCTTTATAACGTTTCTTTTTTTCTTTCTTTCGTCCTTCATTCTTCCTTTTTAACACTTCTTTCCTTCTTTCTTTCTTTCTTTCTTTTTCTTGTAACACTTTTCTCTTTTCATTCTTTCGTTCATTCTTTCTTTCTTTTTATGACTTCATTCTTTTTTCTTTCTTTATCTTTTCATGACTTCTTTCCTTTCTTTCCTTCTTTCTTTCTTTCTTTCTTTCTTTTACTTTCCATAATATTTTCCTTTATTTCCTTCTCTGTTCTTTCTATCTATTCTTAACATTTTCCCCTTTTCTTTTTTCCCTCAATTCTCTTCTTTCTCACTTTCTCTTGATTTAATAGCTATTTACCAAAGCTAGCTTCCATTGATTGCTTGATTCGTATTTTACGGCTTATCAACCTTAAATACGTTTAAATTGTAGGAATATTTTGAAGATAAAAATGATTTACTGATATATCTTACTAATTAACCCATAACAGGGGAGAATAAGCAGATTAATACCTTTCCCAAGTGTGTTAGTACGAAAGTAAAGAGAACGAACTCGACTGGAATTAGAAAACGGAAAGCCGATTTCCAAATTCGCGCCGTTACACATTACTCCACCCGCATATCCACGATTACACCACCCGGTATTCCCAAGTGGTCACCCATCTAGGTACTGACGGAGTTCGACGTTGCTTTGAACTCACGACAACTCGGAAGATTCTTATAGACACGTTCGCTATCTCGTCTTTTAAGGTGAAGCAACCGTTTTGACATTTTACAAAATTGCAAATATGGAATAAATGATCATAAAGTAAAGTATGGCTAATGATGTAAATATATATATATATATATATATATATATATATATATATATATATAAATTATATATAAATTAAATTGAAGTCAACCCTCAGAGGCGACAGGCTGTTTCATGCTAGACGCAATTGTCAGGCCGCCTTTATATATATATATATATATATATATATATATATATATATATATATATATAAAAAAGAAAGAAAGAAAAAGAGCAAGATCAAAAGATAGGAAGCAGGGGAGGGGGATGACAAAAGAGAAAAGAACAAAATAAAATAAAAGAGGATATGAAGAAGAGAAAACTCAGTCGCGAAAATCCAGACCCGCAAGTCAGAGGATTTTCCTTTGCATTGCATCGTACCTGTCTTTTAATGTTGCCGGCCCGAAGTTACTTAAATCTTCAGGTCGGGAAGTAATCTGCCTGATTGTCTAATTGTTAAGCAGTCGAGGCTACAATCAATACCATTTTGCTTCGATCTGATGTCTACGCTAAGCTAAATGCAAAATACACAGAGTGCTTACAGACAAACGGAGTTGACTGCGCTTGAACACACGCAGAACAAAGATAGATTCATGCAAATTAGACAGACATATATAATGCTAAATAAGAGACAGACATATCCGCACACAAACACACAGGCACACACAGGCACAGACAGACAGACCCCCCACATACACTTATACATATATATATATAAGAGTGTGTGAAGAAATATAGCTTTAAGATGTGCTATATTTATGGGATGAAGTGCTCAATATCAGAGACTGAGCGGATGTAAATATAAATATAAAAATGAACATTGAAGTCAACAATCAGAGGCGACAGGCTGTTTCATGCTAGACGCAATCGTCAAGCAATATATATATATATATATATATATATATGAAGGGAACATTGAAGTCAACACTCAGAGGCGACAGGCTGTTTCATGTGAGACGCAATCGTTCATGCTAGATATTGCGTCTAGCATGAAACAGTTTGTCGCCTCTGTTGTGTTGACTTCAATGTTCTATATATATATATATATATATATATATATATATATATATATATATGTATATATATATATATATATATATATATATATATATATATATATATGAAGAAATGTAGTCATAAGATGTGCTATATTTATGGCATAAAGTGCTCAGAGATAGAGCGTGTGTAAATATAAAAGTGAACATTCAAGACAACACTTAGAGGCGACAGTCTGTTTTATGGCCTGACGATTGCATCTAGCATGAAACAGACTGTCGCCTCTAGGCATTAACTTCTATTCATTTATATATATATATATATATATATATATATATATATATATATATATATATATATATAGGATTGGTGTATACGGAATAAATTCAAATAGCCAACAAATACTATTCTTAAAAGACTGCAAATATCATTATTTATTCGAAAATTATAAAATAAATTTCATTATAAAAATACCCATTTTTTTCAACACTTCTCGTGTCTTATCAAGTGATGGGGTTGAATTTAGAATAATGAATATATATATATATATATATATAAGCAAGTGTTAATGGATATAAATCCGACAGAATGAAAAAAAATTTTGAAAAAACAGACAAAAATCCTTAAATGTAGTTAAAATGAATGAAATGTCGACGTCTGACGTTTTGGATTAATAAACCTTTTTCAAGACAATATTCATTAAAATCAATTCAGTTCAATACGACAAATACGATGGACATAAAAACAAAAGTCTTATTCAAAACAGATAACATATTGAAAATTTTTTAAAATATTCAGAAAGGTCCGTCTAAAATGAAACGTCAGACGTCACATTTCATCTATTTTACGCTTTCATTTTTGTTTGTTTTTAGACGGAAAATTTTTCTTCATATATATATGTATATATATATATATATATATATATATATATATATATATATATATATAGAAAAATGGATTTAACAAAAGAAGTGTTTCAGACATAATAAAGAGAACGGAAAAATTTACATAAAGGAACATATTCATAAATTGTCTATTCAATTCAAGCAATGAAATAAGGTCATCAATATAATTTCAGAAGATTATAAATCTTAATATATACAATTTTTTTAAAATACTTTTTTTATTAATAAGTTTTATTAAATCAATAAAGGGATAAGTAAAGAAATAAGTAAAATGAATAAAATATAAAATTATATGTATGCATATACATACCCACATATACAAACATATCTAAATATATATATATATATATATATATATATATATATATATATATATATATATATACATGCATGCATATACAACTGCATATATATATATATATATATATATATATATATATATATATATATATATATATATATATATATATATATACAATTATCAAGTGAAAATCTAAATCTACAATATTACACATTCATACACACCCCATCTATATTCATACATAGGCCCCCATATATACAAAGAACCACTTATACAACAAAACATATACACATTCATAAATATATATATATATATATATATATATATACATACACGTATACATATACATACATACATAGTTACATGCACATACAAATATAAACACAAACAATATATACACATAAACGCACCTATACATACAAGTACAAATAGGCACATGAGTGTACGCATAATACACACACACACACACACACACACACACACACACATATATATATATATATATATATATATATATATGTAGTAATCCGTTGATATATAACTCAAGTAAATTCTATTAACAAAATATAAAATATTACATATTGAATATTATATATTAAAACTGATGCCGACATGAAACTAAATGTTTTTATAATAAACAGAGCAATATATATCATAAAATAGGAATTAAAATACCATTATGTAAATAATCATTTACACCTTGTAAAATTAAATTTTCAGGAAGTTTCAAACATTCAACAGAGGCATTGACTTTTTAAAGAATCCCGTAAATTTCATTTTTACTCATTAAAAAGATCATTTGCATAATGGTATCTTCATTCCAATTGCACGATATATATATATATGTATATATATATATATATATATATATATATATATATATATATATATATATATATATATATATATATGGGTATATAGTAATCCGTTGATATATAACTCAAGTAAATTCTATTAACAAAATATAAAATATTACATATTGAATATTATATATTAAAACTGATGCCGACATGAAACTAAATGTTTTTTTTATAATAAACAGAGCAATAAATAAAATAGTTTTTATAAATAATCATTTACACCTTGTAAAATTAAATTTTCATTTCAAACATTCAACAGAAAACTTTTTAAAAATCCCGTAAATTTCATTTTTACTCATTAAAAAAATAATCATTTACATAATGGTATCTGTTCAAATTAAATTTTATATATAAGTTTATATAAACATTCATACATATATATTGAATCCGTTGATATTTTTCAAAAAAATATAAAATATAATATTTATATTTATAAAACTGATTTACCGACATGATACTAAAATGTTTTTATAATAAATAGAGCAATATATATATAAAATATATACCATTATGTAAATAATCATTTACACCTTGTAAAATTAAATTTTCATTTCAAACATTCAACAGAGCATTGACTTTTTTAAAAATCCCGAAATTTCATTTTATATATATATATATATGGCATTCCAATTCGTACGATATATATATATATATATATATATATATATATATATATATATATATAAAAAACAAAACAACTATACATAAATACATATGTATACTCATACATATAAATATATAAGTAAATTTTACACAAAACTAATATATATAAAAATGGCACCTAGTTATGCTAATATCTTTATGCACATTCTAGAAAAGAAGATACTAGACAATTCAGAATATAAACCATCGCATTACTTTAGATATATTGATGACATTTTCTTACTATGGACTCATGGATCAGAAAAATTAAAAATTAAAAACCTTTTTCACTTTCTGCAACAATTTCCACGATACAATTAAATTTACCATGGAACACTCATACACATCCATCCCTTTCTTAGACGTTATGATAAAATTAAACAAACACACTTTCTACCAGTCTATACAACAAACCCACAAACCAACATAAATTCCTGCACTTTAACAACTGTCATCCCTTTAAATTAAAAAAATCTATTGTATACAGCTCATTTCTAAGAATCAAACGCATATGCTCAGACCATTTAGATTTTCTATACAACATTAATAACTTAACAAAACAATTCCTAAAAATGCAAATACCCAATAAAATAATAAAAAAAGCACTAAACAAAACTATCCTGATAAATCGTAACACACTTCTCACATCCAAGAAAAATAAAAAACAACAATCGGATTCCCATGGTTTTAACCACAATCAATATTCAACACACTTATTCACAAATTAAAAAATGATTACAAGAACCTCCAATTAGACAACAAGATCAAAGACATTTTCGATAAACCACCCATAAATGCAATGGAACAATCACCTAACTTATCAGCTATCCTCACCTCTACCAAATATCTAAACAATAGAAACCAAACAGGAAATTACAAATGTAACAAACCTCGTTGCTTAGTTTGCAAACATTTAATAATAGTTAATACATTTTCAGTACCCAACACCAATATCAGGATACAGCCACCTAACCTCACCTGCGATACCCATAACGTAATCTATTATTTATTCTGCAACTTATGTCCTAATAGTGGATATATTGGTGAGTCTGGAAACAATTTTAGATTTCGTTTTAATAACCATAAACAAACAATACGTCAAAACAACCCTTATTCCCCATAGCTAAACACTACAATCAATCAGGACACACATTAGAAAACTGCAAATGTTTATTAATAGATTCCGATTTTACTTCAACATTCACACGCAGAAAAAAAAAACATATTGGATTTTAAAATTAAATACATAAACTAGGGTTGAATAGGGACTTAGGTGTTTTAAATCTTTATAAATATTTCAATAGTTAAGCAATTTTTTTTTTTTTTAGATATAGTAAAAATTGTTTTAAATATTTATGACAGTTAGATTTAAAGTTAGGAATATCCGAACAGTGACGTTGCATATCACGTGACGTCCGCGTCTCGCTAAGGACGCTACTTGCTAACAAACAGTAATTTTAATTTATTTGTAACAAACAGTTATTTCTGATGAAAAATTGAGGACAATTTGAAATATCAAATATATATATATAAATAAATAAATACTTTCATAAAATAAAACATTATAATTTTCAATTTGAAACTTTTTCTATATATATATATATTCAATATTCCAAGTGTACAATTCTTCAAAATAAATGTTAATCGGGAATCTATTATTACCATGTATTATCATTTCTTCGGAAATAAACAATTACCATTGATTTCTAAAGTCTCCAGAATTCATTATATATATATATATATATATATATATATATATGTAAATGATCATATATAAATATATTATGTAAATGATCATTTTCACCTTGTAAAATCAAATTTACGGGATTTTTTCAAACTGTCAATGGATGATAAATTTTTCAAATAAAATAAACAGACAAGGGGAAGAAAAGAAAGGAAAGAAAACAGGGGAGAAAGAAGATGAAGAAAAAAGGAATAAAAGATGGCAAAAGAAACAGGAAGTGGTGTAAATCTTGATATGAGTGGTGGTCAGAGGGGGAAACGAAGAGAGAAAGCAAAGAAAAGGAAAGAAAGCGATGACCTGTTTAATATACCCGGTAGAAACAGACAGTAGACAGATCAAATGAACCATCAGAAATTAATATCCAACCTGTAATTATACCTACCAGCAATAGATTGGTAATATATATATATATATATATATATATATATATATATATATATATATATATATATATATATATATTATCAGTCTGTTCATATGTATCCATCTATCTATCTAATAATCTCTGTTAATAGATATCTATCTATCTATCTTTTCTCAGTCAATTTTCTATCTATCTATCTATCTTTTCTCAGACAATTTTCTATCTATCTATCTATCTATCTATCTTTTCTCAGACAATTTTCTATCTATCTATCTATCTATCTATCTATTTCTGTTTATATCTATCTACCTATTTATCTCTCTGTTCATATCTATCTATCTATCTATCTATCTATCTATCTATCTATCTATCTATGTCTTTTCCTCTCTATCTATCTGCCTATCTCGGTTTATATCTATCTATCTATCCCAAATTGTTCATTCTATCTATCTATCTATCTATCTATCTATCTATCTATCTATCTATGTCTTTTCCTCTCTATCTATCTACCTATCTCTGTTTATATCTAGCTACCTATTTATCTATCTATCTATCTACCTATCTATGTCTTTTTGTATCTATCTATCTATCTATCTTTGCCTTTTCCTATCTACATATCTACCTATCTCTGTTTATATCTCGCTACCTATTTATCTCTCTGCTCATATCTATCTATCTATCTATCTATCTATCTATGTCTTATCTCTCTATCTATCTACCTATCTCTGTTTATATCCTAGCTACTGTTTTATCTATCTATCTATCTATCTATCTATCTATCTATCTATCTACCTACCTATCTATGTCTTTTTCTATCTATCTATCTATCTATCTATCTATCTATCTATCTATCTATCTATCTATCTATCTTTGCCTTTTCCTATCTACATATCTACCTATCTCTGTTTATATCTCGCTACCTATTTATCTCTCTGCTCATATCTATCTATCTATCTATCTATTGTCGTATGCAATCCATTTTCATTGTTTGTTATAATTTATTTAAACGCTTTACTCGTTTTAATTTTATTTGTTTTTTTGAGGTTTTTTTTTTTTTTTTTTTATCCCAAAAATGATTCGTATGGACGTCGCCTTTTTCTCTGAGGACACGGAGATATAAGCCTACATCAAAAAGTTTTCTGAGCTCACCTTGCATTTGTTTATCCGTGAATTTAAAGGGAAAATCGATCCAGCCAAGGAAATAAACTTTAAATGTGACCCAGGTCACCGTTGACGTCAAATCTTTAAATCTCCCACTCATATTTGAACCTCTATTCTGTACGATCCAAAGTTTGGTATCGAAATGCGCACACACTCTCTCACGCACACACAGCCGTTCTTGTGTATACACGAATATACATATCCGAACATATCGGGTCACACGTGTGGGTGAATGTGTTAGTGTCTGCGAACGAAGATGGTCAGAAGATGCTTTGGGTGGGGAAGACCAGTTCAGTTAAAAGAACGAGATTTACTTTAAAAGTAATGACAATCTTTGAAGATGGCGAATGATATTCAGTCATTCACCTGTATGCACACTAAAGAGATGGGGAAGTGCCAGATCGTATCATAGATAACTTTGAAGATATGTCAGGGTGAAATTATCTATCTATCTATCTATCTATCTATCTATCTAGGGGTATGTGCGTGCGTGTGTGTATGTGTGTATTTGCAACTTCCGGACAGTGAGTGAGACAGCATTACGTCAATGAACGAAAATCGACACAGCGATGGGAACAAAGAAGTCTTTATCTCAAATCCTGCTGGATTGAATAATGCCCTCTTAAATGGTTGGATACCTTTTGTTCTATTATAAAGAATATCTCAACTTTATTTCTATGCTTCTCTCTCACTTTCTCTTTATATCTCTCTATCTCTAACTCTCTCGAAATATCCACCTTCCTATATATATATATATATATATATATATATATATATATATATATATATATATATATATATATATATTTTTGCATACGACCGCTCGATCGTATACTACAGATATTTACTCATTCGGCTATATATATATATATATATATATATATATATATATATATATATGTATGTATGTATGTATGTATGTATAACTGAATGGGCAAATATCTGTATGCAAATACATATAAATAGTCTATATTATAAGAAAAAACAGTGCTCAATGAAAATTAACAGAGCTCCTAAAAAACACACACACACACACACACACATATATATATATATATATATATATATATATATATATATATATATATATATATATATATATATAAGTTATATATATAAGTTATTATGTATATTATATATATATAAGTTATTATGTATGTATGTTATATATATATAAGTTATTATGTATGTTACTGGTGGCGCCAAGCCACCGAAACCGTGATATCACCCTGGTCGGCGGTTGATGAAGACAGGGTATCACAAGTGCTAACACACGCTATATATATATATATATATATATATATATATATATATATATAAAAATAAAATATTATAATTTCAGCACTTAAAAATTGCTTCCGAGTTGTGCAATGAATTTAAGATAAGTTATTATGTATGTTGCTTATATACATTATATATATATATATATATATATATATATATATATATATATATATATATATAAGCAGATTTCATTGAATACGACAGACAAGGTGCTTTTATTGAGTTTTTTCTACCATTTCTCATGCGATCTAATAATTATTTTCAGATGATAAATTATATAAAAACTGTCCGAATGTTCTTTTTATCCTAGCGCTTTCGGCTATACATTTAGCCATTTTCAAGAATTAAATATTTTAACTGTTAATTAACAAATAGTTTGTTGCATGTTTGTTTTATAAAATGTTTTCATTTTTCAAAACACGGTCAAGATATTGTGTCCGTGTTCGTAGTTGTTATTATTAAGTGCTCGTTTGTTTGTTTTTAGTAACAAGGCTTCCATTATTTTTATCCTTTTGCATGTAGATGATGCTATTATATTTGTGTTGTCAACAAGTATGTTAGAACAGTGTCCGGTAGGTCTCCATGAATATTTAAATGAGATCTAATTGAGCTATGGTCAGAAAGATGTAGAGTGAGTCTGCGTGTCAAACATGTTGTAGTGTGGCCTATATAATTATTTACGAATTTTGATGGATCAGGAATAGAATTTTTTAATGGGCATTTAAATTGGTAAATAATATTTGCCGTATTTAATTTTGTTCTAGGAGGTGAATTATCATTTTTAACAATTTGTATGTATGGGAAGGATATATAATTTTTTTTATATATCAAAAAAAAATTAGGAAAGTATATAACACTATAGACCACATACTCAAATATATATATTATAAAAAATTAATGTAAATTAAAAATTGCAAATTTCACGACATATCAGTCTTTGCTGTGTCATCAAATTGGGCTGATATTTTACATATTCGTTTTATTAACATTGTAATATCTCTCAATAACAGAAAAAACTTCTGATAGATCATATACGATGAGATTGTGATAGATAGATAGATAGATAGATAGATAGATAGATAGATAGATAGATAGATATGAACAGACTGAAATTAGATAGATAGATAGATAGATAGATAGATAGATAGATAGATAGATAGATAGATAGATAGATAGATAGATACATTTGATCAAAATGGGATAGATAGATAGATAGATAGATATTAACAGACTGACATTAGATAGATAGATAGATAGATAGATAGATAGATAGATAGATAGATAGATAGATTTGATCAAAATGGGATAGATAGATAGATAGATAGATAGATAGATAGATAGATAGATAGATAGATAGATAGATATGAACACAATGAAATTAGATAGATAGATAGATAGATAGATAGATAGATAGATAGATAGATAAGAACAGACTGCGATAGATAGATAGATAGATAGATAGATAGATAGATAGATAGATAGATAGATAGATAGATAGATAGATTTGATCAAAATGAGATAGATAGATAGATAGATAGATAGATAGATAGATAGATAGATAGATAGGAACACTGATAGATAGATAGATAGATAGATAGATAGATAGATAGATAGATAGATAGATAGATAGATAGATAGATATGAACACAATGAAATTAGATAGATAGATAGATAGATAGATAGATAGATAGATAGATAGATAGATAGAATTACAAAGTATAGCGTATACCAGTAATATGCTGCCTTCTTAGGGCATGTATTGAAATTGAATCTACTACCAAAGTTATTACAATCAATTAGCAATGCCCTTTACGACATGTAGCGATCAAAGACGCATATCGTAAATGCGTGTATGCCTTGTGAGTGATTGCACGCTGTTTATGTCTGTATATTCGGATGAAACATGCTCACACATCCAACAATTTATATCAGCCTCAACAACGATTTATATGAACCTCAATGAGCAGAGAATCGGGTGTACAATTACCTTCCATCCGTTCGGTGTAATTTCTAGATCAAAGTAAAACCTGCTAACCCAGCCGAAGGGAGCGGTATCGTGGAAAGATGAGATTCTGTGGAGTTCATTCGGTCTCTATCCATGGCCAGAGAGATAGCGCGCTTCTATTAGCGAGGGAGGGACATCTTCAGATATTTATCAAAAACAGGTACCCCGCCCTCCGTTTTTAATTATTTTGTTTTTGTCTTTATTTGAAAAGGAGACATTGGATAGAAATCACATTGGCCGACTCAAAGATCGAACTGAAATGAAAAAAAAAAGAAAAAAGCCCCCCATGAATAATGAGTCTCGAATTAAATAGCCTTTTTTTAAAAATTGGATTCATAGATTTTTGGAGAAAGTACCTTTATTATTTCGTAAGATGGATGGTAAATGGAAGAAAGGAAAATCAGCTATGGTAACTGCGCAACACGGTAGGACCGGGGAAGCTCAACTAAAATGTATATGTATATCTGTATATGGCGCAGTCTACTAGAAAGGTTCAATCAAGATGGGTTCAGGGGAAAGAAACAGAGAGATCAGCTGGCAAAGCATCTCAAATATCAATCATTATATATATATATATATATATAGAGAGAGAGAGAGAGAAAGAGAGAGAGAAAGAGAGAGAGAAAGAGAGAGAGAGACGGGGGGAGAGGGAGAGAAAGGCAGGAGGACAGACAATGTAAGACAGACAAAACAATAACATGATCATTGGAAAGATAGAAAAAACACTGAGATAGATAGATAGATAGATAGATAGATAGATAGATAGATAGATAGATAGATAACAGACTGGGATAGATAGATAGATAGATAGATAGATAGATAGATAGATAGATAGATAGATAGATAAAGAACAGACTGGTGTAGATAGATAGATAGATAGTAACAGACTGCGATAGATAGATAGATAGATAGATAGATAGATAGATAGATAGATAGATGGATAGATAAATAAAGAACAGGCTGATAGATAGATAGATAGATAGATAGATAGATAGATAGATAGATAGATAGATAGATAGGAATAGGAACACTCTGAGATAGATAGATAGATAGATAGATAGATAGATAGATAGATAGATAGATAGATAGATAGATAACAGACTGAGATAGATAGATAGATAGATAGATAGATAGATAGATAGATAGATAGATAGATAGATAAAGAACAGACTGGTGTAGATAGATAGATAGATAGATAGATAGATAGATAGATAGATAGATAGAAACAGACTGAGATAGATAGATAGATAGATAGATAGATGATAGATAGATAGATAGATATGAACAAAATTAGACAGAACGGAAGAAAAAAAAAGAAAGAACGAAAGAGAGAGAGAGAGAGAGAGAGAGAGAGAGAGAGAGAGAAACCCAGACTAACATAGTTATACACCTTATCAGAAACCAAAAGAAGAGGGAAAGAAGGAGATAAAAAGATAGCGAGATTGATAAAACGTGTATAGATAGAATTTTTTAAAGGAACTTTGATGTTCCAATATGTAACGTTGCCCGGGTAACGGATTTATTTTAGAAAATAAATTTTTCAGGTTTTAAATCTATCAAAAAAAATCCTTCGTCTTCAACCCTATTTTTTTTTTTTACATATAGCTTTTAAAATGAGCTAAATATTTAAAACAAGATAAAATGCTAATGTCGACACCAACCATATTGCTTTCCCAGCAATACTATCGTTATATAAAGATGAATTATTACTGTAGCAGTTGTCCTAGCTAAAATACAGTTGCAGCTAAAGAATATTTTACGTTTCATACGAAAATATATTGCATTCAAATTACAGACTTTAGGGACATTTCCAAATTAAATTTTGAAATAATCATATGAATATGTATATATTTTTCAGAAACAAATTTTGGGTTCCATCATAGATTTCGCAAAATGCATGTCCTAAAAGGAAAAAAAAAAAACAGATCATCGCAGAAGAATGACTTCTTCGTTTAATGAAGAGACGATTTATGAATTTCATATGCCTCAAGAATCCCAGTCAGACGACAAAATAAAATAAGATTTGCAAGGAATCGAAGCATATTGAGATATGTAGAAATGGAAGTAATACGTGTGACGTAGACGTTATGTTAATAGGTTTTGCCGAGCCGGGAAGGACTGGATGTTTCATATAAGATTTACTCACTAGAAATCAATCTGGTCTTCTAAAAGAAAGAGTTTCGAAAT